GAACTAAGGGCAAAGTGGTCATTATATATTTGCTTAAAAAATTCTTAGAATTATAAAACCTATTTGATCTGAATTATCCTAGATTTCCAGAATTGGAGGTTTGCATACGTTTTTGAATTATTCAAGCTTAAACTAGTATTACGAATCCAAAAGACTTTTCATGATTTCAATTGTTTTAAACGAAAAAACTTAACTAAAATAATTTAAAATTGGAAAATGTTATTAATATAACATCCAATAACGTTCATTTAAGAGAAAATAGTTTAAAAACAAATATGAATTAATATTTTTTCTATGTGTTGCTAGATATCTTCAATAGCAGAAGAAACTCAACTCGATTTTTTAGTGGATTAAAAGTTGCGTTTAGTCCTTTTAATGTTTCATCATAAAAAATTTAATATATTATTTTACTCTAATAATAAAAAAACTTAAGAAATTAAAATAAACTTTAAGAAAAATTTATATTTTGAAAAATCATTACGAAAACTCCATTTTTTTAAAAATGGTTTATTGAGTAAAAGAAACAAAGTAGAATTGATTATGAAAGTTACTCTTGCAACATCTGCAGTGGAAGATTCGTAAGTTTAAGTCATTGGTAATACCAAAGAGAAATATCACTTTGTTATCAGTAATTTATTTTAACTTTTAATTAAGAAAAACACTCATTTTAAGTATTTAATTTTCAAGTTAAAATTCATAAAATCATCACTCTCGCATCCTCATAGATATATTATTTGCTAGTGAAGTATAGTGAATCTTGGTGTTGGATATTTTATCATGGTTATGATTTAAAATAAATTTTGGTCACGAATAATTAAAATGATTATATTAATAATGTTAGAAATATGGTGTAACACTTTTAGAGCTAAAATACATTCTCATCTTATAACAATTTAATGTTACGTCACTACTTAAAAAAGCATGATTTATAAATAAAGGCAAATAAGTAATATGTTTTAATTTTCATAGTTTATGATATAATTTAATAATAAATCTCTGATTTTATCTTTCAAATTTTTATTTTATTTTATATAGTTATCAAAATGGCTTGATCTAATAATTGATAAGAAAACCCACAAAATAAATATGTAATTAAAATTAAAAAAATTTAAATATATATTTTATCAATATTTATTACTTAATAATATATGTTAAGAAATTTTTTTATGTTTCAGAAAGAAATTTTTAAAATGTTAAGAAATAAATATGCGTTAAAATATACATTCTAAAATATAAAAATAGTATTTTGAAAAATATTTTTCATATTAATTATCTGTCCTTATATTGTTTTGTTAGTGGTAATTTACTATGCTCAGATACTTTAAATTGACATGGTTACTTTTTTGTGATTCTTTAAATAAATATTTGGGCTAATTATTGTATTGAGTTACATTTATCTTCAATTGTCTTCTTCCATTTGGGTTTAGTTTGTGAAATATTCAAAAATAGAAGACTCTTGCTTTCTATACATCCATAATTTCTCTCTACACCTCCTTCCTTATCACAAGTCAAATATCTAAATATCTTTTTCATAATTTTGTTTTTTACCCTAACTATTTTTTCTTCTATTTGTGTATAATTTTTGCACATTCATCCCTTGACTATTTGACTTTTTTGTGGTATCACCTCCACAGAAGACATTTTCTAATAATTAAAAGTAAGTAATTATTAATATTATGCATGAATTACATATTTCTGCACTCAAATTGCATAAATAGACCCAACTTATTCAATCGAAATAGTATCGAGAAAATGAGGTTAAATTTTGGAAAAGTCAATTCGGAAATACATTGCAAATTGGGTGTCCCAAAATATGTTCCTAGAAAGACCAATCCAAAAACGCATTCTAGAATGAGTGTTCCGAATGCATTTTCATATTAGCTTTTCCAAAAACACATTCTCGAAATACCCAATCTAAAATTCATTTTCGAATTGGTCTTTCCGAAATCACATTCTAGAACACCCAATTTGAAATGCATTTTCGAGTTTATCTTTCTGAAAACACATTCTATAGAAAATCAATTCTAGAGATATATTTTGGAAAGTGCATTCTATAATTAATTTTTCGGAAATGCATTTTGAATCGGTGAGTTTGAAATACATTTCCAGAAAATCAATTCTAGAAATATATTCTAGAAAAAATATTATGAAATTGATTTTTCAAAAAATTAATTCCAAAAATGTATTATGAAAAGTATGTTATGGAATTGATTTTTTGGAAATACATTATGGAAAGCATTTTCGAAAATTTAATTTCAGAAATATATTTCGAACACACATTTTTTGCAATGTATTTTCAGAAAATCAATTCCAGAAAATACTTTTCAGAACATGTTTTAACAAAAAAAAATCCAATTTTCTTACTCCCTGGAACTTGTTTCTAACAAAAAAAAATTGTTTCATAAATACTGTAAAAATTTGATACAAAATAATAATAAAAAATTGGCCATTCTTACCTATTTCTTGTAATTATTAAAAGAATAGAAGAGAAAAGAATGAAAATGTTATATTAGGACTTAAAAATTAGAAATAAAGGGTAAAATGAAGTTTAATTTAATTATAGAGGTGTAGAGAGAAATTATAGAGATGCAGGAAGCAACCACCAAACTAAAATAATGATAGAAGTAAGATGACAAAATAAGGTAAGTGGACCAACTAATCAGTTTATCTATTTTAAAAATGGTGGATTGGATTGATAATTTTATTTTGTTCTTTTTTTTTTCTTCTTATTTATCCTATCCATCTGAAATAACGAAGCTAGGTTAACTAGTTAGATTTTAGAAAAGTATATATATATATATATATATATATATATATATATATATATATATATATATATATATAATTAAAATATAATATTTTGTGTGTTATTTTATTTAAAATATAAATATATTATAATATTATAATTTAAATTATAAAAATTAAATAATTAAATTTAAATTATTGATTATAAATTATTATTTTAACCTATTAATATAATAATTTTTTAATTTATCTAATAATTAATAAATAAAATTTTAAAAATTATTTATATAATTAAATTTATCAAAACGCACTAATAAGTCCATTTTCCCATAAACAAATTGGAGTATTGTTACTAAGATCAATATTCTTAATGATTATTTTTTTCTAGCTTGCGCCATCACAAATCATATAAATAAATATTTATACAATTTACGTAAATAAATGTTCTTAATTGAAAATTAAATACACATATTTAATTAAATAATTATTATTACTAATAATTATTATTTTTATTATAATATATAATTATATTAATAATGAATATAATATAATAATTTTATTATTACAATATTAATAATAAAACTAGTTATTCTAATAATAATAATAAATATTAATTATAATAATGAAATTAATAATAAAATCAGTAATAATAATAACCAATAGTAATATTATTAACAATAATAGATATAATTATTTTATTAATAATAAATATTGTTATGATAATAATAATAATAATAATAATAAATGTTCCTAGTTGAACCCACAGCCAGGATGAAAACCTAATTGTGAACCGAACAAGACTAAGTTTATGAGAGAGAATTGGGATGTCAGTGGAAGAGATTCATAGTACAAGAATGAATAAAAGTAAAAAAAAAAAAACTTATAAAAAAAACATTTATTAATAACTTAAAATTTTAAATAAAAGATTATATTATATTCTTTTGATTTGTATTTTATTCATGAATACCAACAACAATAACCAGATTCATGCGGTGAACGACCGGTTCAACAGAGTAAGAAATGTTTTTTCTTTCATTCAAGGAGAAAGTGTACGGATCCGAAAGGGCACCAAATCCTCAAAAATTGATTTAGGATCACATTATGTAGATAGATTATGCGGAGAACTTGGTAAAAAATAGTATGATGAAGCGAATATGACGAATAATATAATGAAAAAGGGAAGTCAAGGAACTAAAAGAAATATTTTAAGAATAACTTAGAATATTTTTTTGAAGGAACATAGAACAATTTTTTTAAAAATTTATTAAAAACGCTTTGAATAAAAAAAGTTCGGAGTACTTTATTTAACTTTTCTTATATAATTATAATACTTGAACTTAACCACCACCTAGTTACTTTGTCTTTTGACTTATTAAGTTCAGGAACTAGTATGAGTATAAATATTAAATTTATGTATTAATTAAAATGAGAGGTTAACTTGACAACCAAATAATAATAACAAACCTACCATATAGAAAATTGAAAGGTTTTTTAAAATTGTAATACATTTTCATAAACTTAAACGAGTTACAGTTTCTACAATTAAAAATAATGTTTAAAGTGAATTCAAAATCATGATGAGCGTAGTAATATTTATTACGTAATATATATTTCCCGTCTTCTTTTATGGCTTTCTAATAATCATTTAACATATAAAGGAAAATGAAAGAAGACATTAGTGGTCACTTAAATTATATATGTATTAAATGATATTATGGTGGTAGAAAAGGAAAAAGAAAATGGGGATAGATGATTCATGTTACAGATGTGGGGGAAAGAAATAAAATGAAATGACATGAGATAGGTGTGTAAATATAGAAAAGATTCCAAACATCATGAGCTGGTCCAGTCTCCTCCTCCTTGTCACAAGAATAACGACCACCCAAAGATATGCCAATTTTGAATGACTCCACCTTCTCTAAAATCGCCTCTGCTCCAATCCACCACGCCCTCATCAAAGAAAAACGAGGCAAGGAATTTTCATTCCTTATCTCTGTTCTTGGTGTGGGCATGATCCTCTACCACATCGAATCTTTCCAATAAACCCTTCCAGAGGGAAAACTAACCTAACAACCATGCCTCCTTAATTCCATCACCATGCACGTCCTCTTTCTCACCACACGCCAATACTCTTAGCTTCTGTCCACAACTGTATTGGAATAACCCACAATCCTTGCCCTTAAAGAAAAGGAGGCCATGCAACCGTCCCTACCAGATTGAGGATTTTTTGTTTTACTTTTGTTATTGTTCCATAGATGGAGAAATTAGACAAAAAAGGAAAAGAAATGAAAGAAAAGAAATGGTCTCGGAAACTCGAGTTACCGATGATAATGGGCAGCCAGAAGAAAGAGGTTGCATTCGACGACGACGTATTATTGGCGTCGCCGAGGGATGTGTTCGGGGTTCCTGTTTCGGGGACGGATTCGGACAGCACGGCGAGCAGCATCTACTGTGGGCCTGCGTCGCCCGAAATGGGCCCAGACCGGGCCCTAGCGAAAGACGGGCAGACCCAGCAATGGAAGACGATGATGGACGTGTTGAGGTTAAAGTCCGTTAGAAGATTCTCGTCCATTCCTCTGCTTACGGCGAGTTACGAAATTTCGCGGCGGAGCCTGAGGAACAAGCTGAGCCGTATTCGACCCACCAATGAAGACGATGATTTGGATGCTGCTATTGACATTGACGGCATTCCCACCAAGCCTTCTTGGAGGAACTTCAATTACGCTGACCTCGCCGCTGCAACCGATGATTTCAACCCTGGTATGAAATATGAATCAACACCAAGTCATGCACCCACTATTTTTTGTTTACTTTTCAATTTATTCACGTTGTTTCTTTATAATTTAAGGGTTTTTTGATGTCAAACTTAATTTATCGGATTTGCGGATGAGTTCTCATAGAGTTTGTCAAAAAATGTTTCCGAAATGGATGTCTTGTACATGATTTTAGTAGAAATGAGCGTTACATATGTAATATAAATCATTAGGTTATGTTTTGAGATAATTATTTCTAGAGAGGGTATTTGGATTCTCCTTAACTGAGAACATTTCCCTCATAAGATGCTTATGAGATTTTTAAATTTAAAATTAATTAGTTTAATTATTAGAACATGAAATGGTTCTTATAACAATTGTTTGTATAAGGTACAACTTTTAGTAATTGTATGATAATACTAAAAGAATTTGATAGTTATATTCATTCACTTTATATATCGTCAGTTAATACAAACTATTAATAGTATAGCTTTTGAAATAATTAATATAAAAATCAATAATCTTACCATTATTTCCTTTCCTCTAATTTTGGGCTTTTTTCTTTTTATTAAAATTTTGCTGCATTGAAGTGACTCAGCACATTTCGTAACTTGCGAATGGTTCGTGATAATTTGTTTCTGCTAGAATCATTAATTATAAGTCTAAAATTTTTGTTGTGAATTTTAATTATAACATGATTTATTTATTGAAAATCTAGTTATTATATATATATAAAACTTAGATATGGTACACCATGTTTATATATGTGTTTATGTAGAGAACATGATTGGAAAAGGTGGTCATGCTGAAGTGTATAAAGGATGCTTACCAGATGGTCAAGTTGTAGCAGTAAAGAGGCTAACGAGGAACGACGAGGACAGAGCTGGCGATTTCTTGTCAGAACTTGGAATAATAGCTCACGTTAACCACCCCAATGCAACTCGCTTGATTGGGTTTGGAATCGACCAAGGTCTCTACTTTGTTCTCCAATTGGCCCCACATGGCAGCCTTGCCTCTATGCTCTTTGGTGCAGCTCTGCCTCTATCTCTCACTTCTCATTTCGTCTCTTCATTTTTTAATGCAGAATCAGTATGGATAGTGTTAAGGTTATATACATGGCTAATAAAAGAGACATGTAATATTTCAGGACCTGTATGTCTAGAGTGGAATATAAGGTTTAAAGTAGCTGTTGGGGTAGCAAAAGGATTGCAGTATCTCCACCACGATTGCCCAAGAAGAATCATTCATAGAGACATCAAAGCTTCAAATATATTAATCAACCAAAATGATGAAGCTGAGGTACATTGTGTCAGTCTACAGTATACAATTGTGAACTAGATCTTTCGTTTTTGGGAAAGGTAAACAATTCTTCATGTCATGAACTGCAGATTTCAGATTTTGGATTGGCAAAGTGGCTCCCAGATAAGTGGGCCCATCATGTTGTCTTCCCAATAGAAGGCACGTTCGGGTAGGCATTAATTGCAGCATCTTGCTTTTCACAGATGTTCTTCTCACTGCGACTCCATTTTCTGAAAAGCTTCTTGATTTATGGCTACAGATATTTGGCTCCGGAATACTTTATGCATGGAATTGTGGATGAGAAGACTGATGTTTTTGCATTCGGGGTTTTGTTACTGGAGCTCATAACAGGTCGCCGTGCAGTTGATTCAAATAGTAGGGAAAGTCTTGTGATCTGGGTAAGTATTAATAAGCTCTACTCAAATCTTTTGTTCCCTCACCTTGTCTCCAATCTTTTGCACTCAATAGAAATACTCTCAACTAAGAAAAACATATTCTTGAATTGGGAAAATGAATGAGAATTTATGGCATTTTATTAGTGAATTGCCTATCTAGATAAGTGTGACAAACTTCGATGAGAAAACTAACCAATGAGAGTACTTAGTTTGAATACAATTGGTTTGTTGAGAAGAGAAATGTAAACATACATATTTTTTAATATCACTATTGAAACTCATTAAATAATTGTTTTTATTTTTATTAAATGTCAACCCATAATAAAGAGTGTTTTTAGAAAGATGCGTTGAATGTAGTATTTCTCTTAATAGAAAAGAGGATGTTCATATGGCTTACAAAAGTACAGAGACTGACCATGTTGTGCTTTGGTCAGGCAAAACCTATGCTGGATGCAAAGTTGATGAAAGAATTGGTAGACCCCAGATTAGAAGATAATTATGATCTCGCAGAAATGAAGTGCTGCATGACAACGGCTTCCTTGTGTGTCCATCACGTGTCCTCTAAGCGGCCATACATGGATCAGGTAAGCAAGTGAGAACTCTTCCCCATTGATTTAGTGTCACTATTGCAAGTCATAAAATGACATGCCTCATTGATGATTTGGGGGGGTACTCAATGAGACATGCGTCTTTGGAATATCAGGCTGTGCAGCTACTGAAAGGCGAAGAGGTGCCAATTGAACTGAATCAAAATTCATCTACTCCAAGATCACTCTTGATAGATGCATGTGACCTGGAAGATTATACATGCTCTAATTATTTGAACGACCTCAATCGCCACAAGCAATTACTCATGGAGTGAAGCATCACCGGAGCTGTGTGCTCCCTGGTGCCTTTTGGGGTTGCATGGTTTCCTTTTGTATAGGTGAAACTTGTGGAACAATACTTGCAGTTGTGTGTTTTAGTGTGCACGCGTGTGGTGAAAATGAGAATGTCACCAACTTGGTCCTTCTTGAGGCATGGCAAAATATCTTACGGTTGTAAATTGGCATGGACTTGAACTGAACATCATTTGTCATGAAGCAACCATAGTTTGTATTGTTTGCTTATATTAAGGATTAAGGGGCTCTCTCAACTAATTATTTTAAACAAATAATCTTCTTCTTCCAAAAATAAAAAATAAAAATAAAAAATTGAGCGTGGAATAAATTTATAAAGTAAAAATTCCAACATGTGTTGACTAAATTGGAAATAGCGATGAGGAATGAATTATAAATAATGCCATATGAGTAAAAAAATTAGGAGGTCCATCTCCAAATTCACCTATGATCAAATCATTAATAATATGTGATATTAGAAATGTATAAAAATGATACACATTGTTCAATTAATATGACTCTTACCATTATATATTTTTAATAACAAATAATATTATTATAAAGAATTTACTAATAAATAAATAAGTATATTATAATATTTTATTTTATTTTACGTCATATATAATACACAAATTAGACAGGTATATAAGTCCTTCAAACTCGAAATTTGAGAATATTGAAGATGAACGAGTTTTATATGAGTCAAATGTCAAATTATTTTCTTCCAATTTTAGGTATGATTAAGACCATTTCAACAACTTGAAGTTTTTATAGGTAACTCTTTGAGTGGTGTTTTATTCAAATTATCAGTTTGATCTAGTGTTATATTTAAAGTGTGTTCAATCTAGAACTATGGTTGAAATGTCTTCGATCTAGAGTTATTATACATATATGCTTCATTTAGAATTATTGATGAGATGTGCTCGATCTGAAATTATGAGTAGGGTGTGATTGGCCTAAAGTTATGATTGAAATGTGCTCGCTTTGGAGTTATGATTGAGACGTGCTCGATCTAGAATTATGACGTAGGTGTGCTTAATATAAAGTTATGATATATGTATGCTCAATTTAGAGTTATGGATGAGAAGAAAAATGTCAAACTTTAATGTCACTTAAAATACGCCAAGTTAAAGGCTAAGAACATTGAGACGACTACATTAGAGATCGAGAAAAACAACCAAACTCTCTAAGATGAGCAAGTTGCTTGAAATAGTGAGAGTTTCTTGAAATTTATTAGGTCAACTTCAAGAAAGAAGTTAGACAAATTTACATTATTAGTCTTCATATAAATGTAAGTTAATTTTTTATGGTAAATATGATACTTAAATATTCCTTTTGAATACCAGAACAATACTTTTGCTAGTTATAAATAAAACTCAATGGGATTCTCGACATACCTACTTAAGAGAATTATTGCAAAATCATATTTGACCTAATCATTGTTAGATACATGAGACATCCCACGATTTCTTTTAAATTGTTCTTCTCAATCTTAGTTCTTTCTTCATCCTTTGAAACATGAAACTAGAAATAGTTGGAGATCAGACAAAATTGCTTTGATTTATTATATCACTACAAGAATTTTACATATTAGCTATGACACATTCCGTAGCTATTTTATAGCTAATCTCTCACTGATATGTTTTGCTACAGATTAGCTACGGAATAGCTATGGAATAGTCCGTAGCTAAATCCAAGTAGCTAATTAGATATAGATGTATTCTCTCTCAAATTTGTAGCAAATTTTGTCGTTAAACTGTCGCTAAATCTCTTGCTAATTTAAATGATGAAATTTTGTTTATCCCTAGCTAATTTGATCTCCCAAAACTTGTAGCTAATCTCTCGCAATTTCGCTCTCGCTAATCCGTAGCTAATCCCTTGCAATTTCGCTCTCGCTAATTCGTAGCTAATCCCTCGCAATTTCACTCTCGCTAATTTGTAGCTAATCCCTCGCAATTTTTCTCTCTCTAATCCGTAGCTAATCTCTCGCAATTTTTCTCTCGCTAATTCGTAGCTAATCCCTCGCAATTTTTCTCTCGCTAATCCGTAGCTAATCCCTCACAATTTTTCTCTCGCTAATCTGTAGCTAATCCCTAACAATTTATCTCTAGCTAGTGGTTAATGCCTCACAATTATTTCTTCGCTAATCCGTAGCTAATCCTTTGCAATATTGTTCTCACTATTTCATAGCTAATCCCTCATAATTTTTATCAAAATTTATAATATCAAATATTTAAGATTTAAATTATTACTCATTCTTAGAAAAGAAGACAAACTTATCAACTTTCAATATAAAAGTATTGTTTAAACATAGTTAAAATGATGTTTCAAACAATTAAAACATAACAAAAATAATATTTCAACTAAAAAGTTATGTATAACACAATTACAAATAGAAACAAAGTTTAAAGTAGGTTTTCATCATTGTTTCTTTAAGGCGGATAATAAATCTTTCTTAAAAGACTGCATTTCTTCTTGCATTTGTTGTTGCATGAGTGTTTGCATTTCTGCTTGTATCTTCATTTGTGCTTGCATCAATGCTTGCATATCAGTTTGTGCTCGCAATCGTGTTTTCATCTCGCTCTTGCAAACTAGATATCTGTGTAGCTAAGGTAGTGATTTCTTCAAGTGAGAGGTGTGGTAAGATTTTGGGAAGAGGGACCTTCAACTGATGAAGATGAAACATGTGAAATACCAAGATCCAAACTCCGACCTATACCATAAATTCTACCTTTTTTATTTTCACCGACAGTCTTTATCCAAAGATCGGAATCAACTATAGGATGATTTGATGTATCTTCCCCATATTTTTCAATCATAGCATTTTCATATGATTCCTACATCAAATCAATATTTTAGCAATATTATAAATAAACAAAATTTAATATTTATAAAATATACACACTTACAATGAAATTTTTTGCTTTGTTAGACACATATTCACCATCTTTCTTTTTATGAACTTTGCTATATAATTCACCATAAGAAATAAGACGTTTGTGCTCTTCTTCCTGTGAAATAATTTACAATTCAAGATTCAGACATCAATATACCAACATCAAACCTAATATTCAATTTATAACTAGTAATCAATATTGATTAACAATTATATGATCAATGTATTAAATGTATAAAGTATGAATACCATTTATAACTATATATAGGCTTATTTCTTTTTACTCTTAAAAATCACACATATTTTTTCCTTTATTTTTAGACCAAAGAAACACTTCATCATGTGAAGATTTGTCATATCAAATCAAACTCTTGTTTCTAGACTTTTTAAATTATGCAAACATCAATTCATCATTTTAGTGAAAATAAGATATCATTAAACAAACTTATAATCAAATGTTGTCTTCCTTGTTTACTTTGATAAAAAGAGTATGCTTACAATTACATTTCTAAATTCTATCCTATATGAAATAGTTTTTCATGTCAATTATGAAAGTGATGAATATCTTATTAAATTACTTTGGCAAAGATCTTGTTGATTTGATGAAGCCAAAAATGAATTCAAATGCTACTTTGTGGCGGTCAAAGGTCACTTAGATAAAAGGGTAGTGGGATTAGTGAGTCTGCATCTCTCGCTTAGGTATAATCATTTTTATCTCTCTCGCTGCATGAGGTTTCTTCATTTAAAAGATTTTGCAAATGCCTCTAAAAAAATGTTTAAACAGCTTAAAAACAAAGTATTTTGATAAAAAGTTTTTAATTAGCTATTTTAACTAATAACATATAAGTTTTATCAACTAAAATGTTCTTAACACTTTTGTAACAGGTTTTTAATCGATATGTTTTCGAAATAATCGATTGTTTTCATTAGAAGGATTTTTGAAAATCTTTCGCCAATATTTTAACCGATATATAATTGATATAATCGATTAAAATGACTTAGAATTTTTTGACAAGTGTTCTGGTAGAATTTTAATCGATACAAATGCGAAATAATCGATTAAAACAACTAAGAGTTTTTTTCAGAACGTTTTAATCGATTAAAACATGCTTGCTATCAGTTAAAATAACTTAGAAAGTTTTATGATATCTTTTGGCAGAATTATAATCGATTAAAATGCGTTTCAATCGATTAAAACAGATTGTTATCAGTTAAAATCACTTAGAAAAGTTTATAAGAATATTTTGCAGTATTTCAATCGATTGAAAGACGAATCAATCGATTAAAACAATTTAGAAGATTTTTTACGAAGAGTTTTAATTGATATAAACGTTGTCGTATCAGTTAAAACACATCTGGAAAATAATCAAGAACATTTTAACAGATTAAAAGAAGTTTTAACAGATTAAAACAAGACTTTTAACAGATTAAAAGATTATTTTAACAGATTAAATAAACCAATAGCTTTGAAAATCTTCTATATAAACAGAGTTGCTTGAACTTTTTAAAACACATCTTTTAGCAATCAATCAAGCAATCATAAGTGCTACTTTCAAGAGAGAATCACGCTAGTTCTGTGAAGTTCATTAAAGTTCTTTCTTGAGGCAAAATTGCATTCTTTTGGAGAAGAAACACATACTGCAGAATTGCATAAATCTGGTTTGAGCGTTCTAAGTTTCTTCTATTTGTTTCTTTACTTTCTTTATTGTATTGTGGGTGCCTGGAATTGTGGGCACTGGTTTCTGTAGCTGGAATTTGACTGCAGGGTTGGTCAAGAATTGGAATTTGGTTCTTGGTGAAGGTTTAGGTGCAGGAACTGGAATTTTGGTTCTTGTGGTAGATTGAGTGTGAGATTAAAGTTGTAATCTGTAAAACGTTCAATCTAGTGGAGCCCAGCTGGAATTTGGCTGGAAACTGGACGTAGCCCTGGGATTGGGTGAACCAGTATAAACCTTGGTTGTATTTTTCTAAACCTTTCTCTTCTTTAATTCTGTTACTGCATTTATTTTGATTGCTTGTTGTGTGTGATTCAAGAACTGGTCAGATTTCTTAATCTTTGAAATAGATAATCTGTAAATTGCGAAAATCTTTCAAAGATCAATTCACCCCCCCTCTTGATCTCAGCCTACATTACTAACAAATTATACACGTGATGCTTGTTTGAGCTCATGTTCTTTAATTTAAAAACATTATAATTTTGACCTTTTTTTATATAAATGTGAGATCCAATGAGTTTATAGTAGAAATAGTATAATGAGAGTAAGTTTAAA